ATTTAGATTACCTATTAGGTTCTCTAGATGTCTGAGTTCTTATTCTTAGCACTAGGCTTAAAATTTAAAACCTTTTTTCAATTATGTAAAAAGTTTTCATTAAGTTTAATAAAGATAAGAGCAAGGTCTCACCTTAAATATTTTTTTAAAATATATATATATATTAATTTATTCAAATACTTTGATTCTTTGAATGAAATTATCTAATTGTAAACTTTTAGCTCCTAATAATAATTATTTACGAAATATTTACTATGATAACTTTGGTAATTGTCATTTGAGAAAATTATTTATTTTACTTACATTCTAATTATTAATATAAATGTTGAAGTTTACCCATTAATGATTTAATGTACAAACTTTTAATATTTGCCAATGCTTCTTGAGTAAAGAGATCAAAAAATTAATGCTCATCATAATGTTGGCAAGCAATTCATCTTTGGTCAACTGAACGCGGCCAACTGCTATGTCAAGGCAAAGAACTTTTTTATGTTGGAATTTGATTGTTAAACATAATTCCCCAGCTTTGGCATTTAAATCATCATTATGATTAACCAGAGTCAGAAATTTACTGCTAGTACAGATATGAATAAATTAAATATTAAAAACATGATAAATAAATTTATTATTTTCAAAGAACATTATAACATTATAAATACTCTTGTACAATCCAGGGCCTAATAATCTTGGAATTTGTTTAATCAAAGCTTCACTTGCTAAAAATGCATCAAATTTTTTAGTGAGTTTTTTGATCAGCTTCGTGTTTTTATTAAGCTTCTTAAGATCATCAACACTTAAATATTCTAGTTGAATCTCTTTGTCACGATCACAATCATGAGTATCACTGAGAATAGCCACAGACATTTTGGAACATTGGACATTGGGAAGTCTGGGATTCAAAATATAGACCTGTAAATACATTCATCTGAAAGGCAAATGAATGAAGATATCTTGACAACCACCTAACCAAATTCGATAATTTTTTTTTTTGTTTTGATTATACAAATCTGTAGAATTCAAATAAAAAAAAATTCATCAAACTTGGCTAGGTAGTTGTTAGGATATTTCATTCAAGGTTTAAAATATTCGACATACCATTAACCATAGCTGCCGCAACAAATTTGGACCGGCAGATCCTCGATTTTGATTGGCTAACGGCCGAGGATCTTC